TGCTGTCCCCCCCCCCCCCGTTGTTTCTTAAGCCAGTTCTGTCTGGGGTTGTTTTTGTTAGTTATAGGAGATACCTTTTCAGTAAATCCATCAAAATCTAAGGATCCCAAGAAACAGAATGCCCCCTGGGTAAGGACAGCTTGTGTTATGAAGGAACTCTGGAATCCCTAGGAAGTTTGTGTTCAGTGACTGTTAAAAAAAGGAATTCCTCAGGAATTCCATAGCATAACGGCTATGTCGCTGGACTCCCATGTAGTCGACCATGGTTTGCGTCCTGGACCCGGTGGTTTAAAACTCATGCTGCGCTTGTGTGCGTGCCCAAGATCCTGAGCGGAGAATGGAGGAGAAGGGATTGCAGCGTGTCCATCCCCCCGGGGGGTGATTTCTCGCTTTCTGTCTCTCTGTCTCTGTCTCTGTCTTTCTAGCAAGCGCGCGCGCCCTGTAGGAAAAACCTCTCCAAAAAGAAAAGAAAAGAAAACCAAACAAAACCAGAATTCCTCTGAAATGTGGCACTGCCAGCTTTCGCCAGAGCATCCAGGTGTCCTGTAGCCCAGTGCTGCTGACCTGATGCTTCCTGCTCACGTGCGAAGTCACGGCAGTGAAGTGACTGGGTCTCCAGGACGGGAAGGTGTCCACTCTGGGAACTTCAGAGAAAGGAGCTGTACGAAATCAGGTGCAAAGTCTCAGTGTTTCTCGAGACTGAGTTATTCTGTGTGGAGACCCAGGTCTCAGTGGAAATGGCTGCGAAGAGAAATAACATTAGAGGGAACTTTCAAATAGAGTCTAGGGCAGACCTCACAGCCTGCTGGCTAGGGGAGCCAGATCCCACATGGCTGACCTTGGTTTGAATCTCTACTCTAGTGGCTTGAAAAACACACCAGGCACGTGTGCGTGCATGCCCCAAATCCCGACAGGACAGAAGTGAGCAGAAGGGATTGCGGTGCGGCCAAGCTCCATAGAGGGCGTTCCGCCTTCTGTCTGTGTCTGGTGAGCACACATGCCCTCTGGCAGTAAATTGCTCTTAATGACTAAAGCTTGATGTTTTATTTCTTTGGTTGCCAGAGAGTGTAAACACTTGTCAGAGGGAGACAGAGAAGGGGAGCACCCCGCCGTGGGTGCTGTGTCCCTGTTTGAATTTGGGCATGTACGTGCGTGCGTGCGTGCACACACACACACACACACACACATGTGTGCACACACACATGTGCACCCAATGTGCTTTCAAGCCACTGGGACTGGGATTTAAACCTTGGTCAGGCATGTGGGCTTCAGATCCCTTAACCACTAGGTATGGGACTGGCCCTGGAACTTAATTTTTTTTTTTTTTAGAATTATTTACTTTAGGGCCAGCGGGTGGCATGGTGGCCACCATGCCACCGGCCATCCATAGTTTGAGTCCTGGACCTGGCAGCTTGCTTTCTCGCTTTCCCTTTCTCTCTCTCTCTGGTCAAATTAAAAATAACAATAACAAAATGGGATTAAATAAACAAATGCTTTTTAATTAAAAAATATATTTTAATTTTATTTATTCATTCATTTATCCTAATTTGACCAGAGAGAGAGAGAGAGTGAGAAAACCAGTCACCAAGTCTGGGACTTAAACTGTGGTCAGCCATGTGGGAGTGTCCAGCGTCTTAATCACCACACCACCTGCTGGCCCTGGAACTTAATTTTTAAAGCCAGCCTACTTTGTTGGTAAATAAAACCCACAAATTAAAACAGAATTCCTTGTTAGCAGTGGCTCAGGCTCTGGGACAAGAATCTTCACTTCCATAGTATTTGCATTTGACACTTTTTAAATTTCTTATGTAATTACATAATATAAACAGGTCCAAAGAGAAATAGAGTGGAAAACAACCAAAAGAATAAATAAATGACAAGACACATCCTAGCCACCTGTGAGCCCCGATAACCCTGTGGGTCGGTGGTGAGAAAGTGCCACAGCCCCGCCCAGATAGCAGCCACATCTCCGGGGAGCAGCACTTGACAGCAGAGTGGCTCCCCTAAACCCCGCAGTCCCACTGATAGGGGTATTTCCAACCCCACCAACTTTTATGCTGCTAATGGAGCTGGGAATAACCCTGGTGTCCAGCTGCTGGGGAGTGGCCCCATGGCATGGTCAGTGTGCACTGGCCCATCCGTGGACGCCGGGACGAGAAGTGCGGGTCCGTTGCTGTGGGTAAAAGCCGGAAACCAGATGGTCAGCACTTTGGTGGCCACGATGCTGAAAAGTGGGAGAGATTTTAAATAACAGAGTTGATCCTTTAGGGCAGGGGAGTTTTTCCCTCTTTTTAAGTTTGTCTGAGGGCGCACGCACAGCCAGAGGTGGAGCGGAAAGTGTCCGAGGGGTGTGGCCGTGCTGCCACCGTGTCCCATCAAGGTTTGGGCACGCGGGTACACGGGCCCAGCATGCTCTTCAGCTCACTGGCGAGATGGGGGCTGTCCTCACGGATCTGGTTCCCTGTGCACAGGCTCGGCTGCCGCGGACCCTCTCTCCAAGGTGGTTTACGGTGGGTGCGCTGACTACGGGGTGCAGGACGTGACTCTAGAGGAAAGACGTGTACTTTAACTTGGAAAGGTTTTTTTGTTTTTTGTTTTTTTTATAAGGATTATTTATTTAATTTTATTTATTACTACTATGTTTTCAGTCTGTGTAAGGTAATGTACTCACCAGAGACAGAAAGAAAGGGAAAGTGAGAAAGCCAGCCGCCAGGTCCAGGACTCGAACCGTTTTCAGCCATGGGGGAATCCAGTGCCTTAACCTCCATGCCACCCTGCTGGCTCCAGCTTTGAAACGTTTTTAACAAGCTCTGACCTCGAGAGACCAGTCTGAGAAAGCTCATGTGCCTGAGCCCTCCCTCCCCTTCCTCTGTACTTCGGGGTGAGTCTGAGCCCTTGAGAAACCATCTGTATAAAATACAGCTGACTGCAGTTTGGGCTCTGGACCTGGCGGCTTGTTCTCTCACTTTCTCTCCTTCTCTGTGTCTCTCTCGGGTCATATTTAAAGAATAGTAATAATAAATAAAATTAGAATCATTTCTTAAAAAGAATTATTGATTTATTTATTATCATTTTTCACTTTGACCAGAGAGAGAATGAGAAAGCCAGCCGCCAAGTCTGGGACTCGAACTGTGGTCGGCCATGTGGGAGTCCATTGCCTTTAACTACCACACCACGCCAGCCCCAAGATATTTGTAAAATGTTAAAAATCTGTATGGACATTCAGTTTATGCCATGGCACCCTTTGACCCAGAGCGGCACCGGATGGGCCACCAAAGCCAGAGGAAGGTTAAAGTGAGTCTTTATTAGCTGGCCTGCCAGGTGTGCAGGATTCCCCTGTGAGGCAGTTACAGAAGCCGGGTCAGGCAGGTTAATGATTTCTGAGGGGCGTGGGGTTTCCACGCAGGCAGTTCCACTGCTAAACCAAGGGGTCTCGGGCTGGTTGGCAAAGACAGTGGCAGGTACGGGGTGGCGTCCCGGATGCGGTTTTCTGTGTGGCTAGCACGAGCTGTTTTCTCATGGGAAGAGCAAGCAGGAATATAGAAGCAGGCAGCCATGTTAGGGGAAGGGTACAAAATGGACGAACAGTTGTTCGTGTGCAAGATCTGATACGTGGCCTTCCACACTTTCACATGTGACAGGATTTGCTGTGGTAAGTCCACGTCTCCTAGCCGGTCCACAGGATTCTTCCTGGCTCCGTGCAGATCTCAGTTGGCCTGCAAGCGGCAGGTGCACATGCCAGCCCCCAGTGCGTGGTCCCTGCCAGTGCAGTCCCTGGGCCCGGACATGAGGCTGCGTGGGCGCTGTCCAGACAATGTGTCGCATTTGGGGAATGGTGTTGCTGCTGGGAGTCCCCACCCAGCCAGCCGTCCTCTGTGGCAGCTTTCTCAGTGTGTCCACAGTCTGCGAGGTCTGTGCAGACAGGACACAGCAGGACAGCTGTGGGTACCCTTGGGCAGGAGCTACCTCACACATCTGGAAGGCTCAAGCTGAGGGCCCGGGTGTCCCACTGGGTGACCTGTCCAGGGTCATCCTGCCCTCCTGGCTTTGCTGGCAGTGGTGCCATCACCATGTGTTTTCTCCCAAACATGCCTTGTTTGGGGACAGCTATGTGTACCCTGTAAAGGGCCTTCTGTTTCCAGGGGCCCGAGGATGCCCTCGGCTGGGTGGGCTGTGCCCGTGGTGGGAGTGCAGGGGCAGTGGGCTGTGCTGCCCTGTTGCAGGTCTGCCAGGTGAGTTGTTTACGATCGCGAGATCCGCTGAACATAGAAAATCTCTTCAAGTCCAGGTGAAGCACGTGTTGACTGCCTGAGTCAGGCTTGGTCCTGCAGCCTGGCCGTGGACTGGGCATGGCCCCATCTGCCGGATAAGCAGGAGGGAGGCAGCATGGGCAGTTCTAATCGGCGGCACCACTCGCCCCTCTCCCTCTCTCATCTCCCCTCCAGCCACATGACTCAGCAGGCCACAGGCCCCCAGAAGCGCTGAGTCACGGTGCCCCCGTTATCTGCTCCTGTGGGGGCTTCATGGCCCCACAGCTGTGGGCCCCACCTTGGCCTGGGTGGGTGTGCCTGCCTGGCCTGCTGTGGGCTCTGATAGGGCCTAGGGGTGAGGGGTAGGGGTATGGTCAGGCTCTCCAGCCTGAGAGCTGCCAGCCCCTCCTGCAACCGAGTCATGTGGGCACAGAAGCAGGGGTGTGGGCCCTGGTTAAGCAGGTCCTCTCAGCTGGGAAGAGCCTCTTGTCCTCGAGGACAGGAAGGGTTGTGCATAGCTGCGTCGTGCCGCTGGGCCTGGGCTATCGGGAAGCCCTGACTTGGTTCCAGCTGGCTGCACTGCTGGGAGCAGACACTCCGGGCAGCCCTGGTCTGAACATTTTACATCCACTCGTGTCCACCCAGTCCTCGTGAGGGAGGCTCCTCTGTTGTCCTTGCGCAGAGACCTGCCCAGAGTCACGTTGCAGGCAGGTGCCCTCAGCTGCAGCCTGCTTCTGTTAAGCCCTGGCCTGGCAGGTGTGCCCCTGCCCTTCTCGGAGCCCCCACGGAGCCATCTCTTCCTCACGATAGAGGGTGGGCCCGACAGCCACCCACGGTGACAGGGCTCTCAGATGCAGGAGCTGGCGGGCACCACTGGCCCCGGAGAGGACCCTGGGCAGGAGGGGAGGGCCCCGTGCACGTCCCCTTCCCGGGTGTCCGGCTGCACACGTCTTGAGCCCTGTGTGTCGTCCCCTGCAGGCCAACGCTGACCCGTCCGTGATCAGCTGTCTGCACAACCTGTCCCGGCGCATCGCGACTGTCCTGCAGCACGAAGAGCACCGCTGCCAGTACCTCACCCGGGAGGCCAAGCTGATCCTGGCGCTCCAGGACGAGGTGTCCGCCGTGGCCGACGGTGAGAGCAGCAGGACCTGGCCGGCAGCTCCTGCGCAGCGTGGACCTCTGTGGGGCCGCAGCCCCGTCGGCCGGGCCACCCCCACCCCAGTGCCGCGGGGCAGTCTGCAGGTGGTGACGGCACTACCCTTTCCTTTCGTTCTCGCTCCCCTTATCCATGGTGGCGTGTGCACGCGGGGCTCCCTGCACAGCGTCTGGCCACTGCTGCCCCGTCCTGCAGCCCTCCAGCCTGCCCCCAGCCTGTCTCGGTGGCTGGCCTGGGGTTCCGGGCTGCGGGTGCTGCACCCCTGCCGCGCCACGGGCCGGCCGAGCGCCAGCTTGTGGTGAGCCGGGCACTGGAAAGGGGGTCTCGGTGACCCTGCCAGCCAGAGCCACGCTGTCTGTTTTGCAGATCTGAGGCCTCACTCGGGGCCTGGGAGGACGCGGGTGCACGTGAGAGGCCCGCGTTCCTGAATGGTGTGCCCCAGGTGTTGCCAGGCTGGGGCTTCCCCCTGCCCACGTGTAGCACGGGCTCCTGTGCTGGGCCTGGGCCTGCCGCATGTGCTGCCCTGAGGCAGAGGCACCAGGGCGCATGGGGCCGCCCGCTGGCCAGGCGGATGGTCTCGAGCCCTTTGTGTTCACCCATGTTGAAGGACCTGATGTGGAACCAGCAGTTGGCGTAATGGCTATGTTGCTGGACTCCCACGTAGTCGACCGCGGTTCGCATCCCGGCCCCGGTGGCTTGAACTCACGCCGGGCATGTGTGCGTGCGTGCCCAAGATCCTGAGAGGAGAATGGAGGAGAAGGGATTGCGGCGTGACCATCCCCCCCGGGGGGTGATTTCTCGCTTTCTGTCTCTCTGTCTCTGTCTTTCTGGTGAGTGCGCGCGCCCTATAGCAAAAACCTCTCACAAAGAAAACAGAAAAAGTATACCATGACTTCCTGACAACCCGGTACGCGCGTCAGGGTTGGCTGTCATCTCTGGCCAGTGATGCCCTGATCAAAGTTACGCTAACAATTGAGAAGTTTTATTTTTTGAGACATTCTCTTCTGAGCCTATGACTTCTTCATAAGGTAAGGGTGAGGAGTGTTCTGACGTTTGGTTCAGAGTTTCGTAATGTTCTTTTTAAGTCCAACCTGTTGTTAAAGATGCTCTTTAAAAGCCCCTGGAAGTCTGGCTCTGGAGCGCTAAGCCTTCCTGTGCTGTTTCTTGCAGCCAGTGAAGGTCCTCGGTCCCCATTCCACCACATCCTGCCCAAGTGCAAGCTGGCCAGGGACCTCAAGGAGGCGTACGACAGGTAGGGCGGGGGGTGCCCTTTGGGTCTGGGGCTTCCCAGTCGTGGGCCCTGTGCTGGTGTGTGGTGCCACTGGGGTTGGCACGGGAGCAAACAGGGCAGCCACAGCCATGTGACCGCTCTCCGGAGAAGTGACCTTGCGGCTCTTTTCAAGTTCCATACCCTTTGCTAAGAGGCGTGTGCTCAGCCAGGATGGTTGCCTCTGGACCCACCTTAGAACATGAGCCTCAGTTCTGCCCAAGAGTCTGAAAGTGTGACTCGTCAAATGCAAGGTGACATCTTCCCGAGCAGGACGGTGCAGAGTCAGGCCCTCATTTTTAGCGTCACTGTCCTCGCTGCACCTGAAGGGACATCCAGCGGGTGAGGCTGTGGCTGGCTCTGCTCCTCACTCCATGGTCGGGGAGCTCTGGGGAGCCATGGAGTGCGCCGTCCTGACCACGCCGTGGCTGGGTCCTGGCCCTGCCCAGGGTGGACAAGCAAGGAAGCCCTTTTCTTTGTAAAGAGCATGTGACCGCTGCTCCATGGCCCTGGGTCTCAGGGCTGTGAAGGGCCTAAAGCAGGGACAGAAGCCACCTGGCAGCTTTTCCCGCCCTTGCACTGCGGGCGCCTGTTCTCAGTACGTGGCATGTACAGCCCACAGTCGGGCAGGCCTCTCAGCAGTTACGGGGGTGGCCGGGTAACCGTGCCTGTCCACCACTTGCAGCCTCCTGTGTCTCCCTTTCCTTCCTCTCTTGCTCCGACCCTGCCACTCTCCTTTGTCGTGGGTTAGCTCCGGGTCTCCCCTAGGCCTTGGTGAGAGGAGGGAGGAGAAGAGAGACAGGAGCACCCCCACCGCGATCCCCTTCCAGCCTGCCAGTCCGTCAGACCTGGCGACTCACGTGCACACCTGCTGTGTCGGCTCACTGGGCTGGGGCTTCGAGCCACAGTCACCATGTGGGACCTAGCTTCTCTGGTGGTGCAGCACTGTGGCGCCGTGGAGCTGGCCCTGCACTTCAGCTTGGGAAGACGTCACATGTTCACTGAGGTGGAGAATCAGGGTGTCTGGACTGGCTCTGAGGCCGGAGCCCCTGTGGCTGACTCCATAGTTCCAATCTCAGACCCGGATGCTTGAGAAGCACAGGGGACGCGCGTGTGTGCCCCAAGTCCCGAGAGGTCGAGATGGAGGAGCAGGGGCTGCTGCGTGACCGTCCCAGACACGGTCTTCCTCGCTTTCCCTCCTTGTCTCTTCCTGGAGAGCTCATGTGCCCTATGGCTAGAAAAAAATCAGTGTGTCAGCTGTCCCTCCTGTCATACCCCAGGTTCCAACGTGGTGGCAGGAGGTGTCCGGTCCCTGTGTGCACCCGTCCCCGTCACGACTGGCCTGGTGCATGCTCTCTGCTGTCTCTCCTCTGTGCTCTCTGCTGTCTCTCCTCTGTGCTCTCTGCTGTCTCCCCTCTGTGCTGTCTGCTGTCTCTCCTCTGTGCTCTCTGCTGTCTCTCTCTTCTGTGCTCTCTGCTGTCTCTCTCCCCTCTGTGCTCTCTGCTGTCTCTCTCCTCTGTGCTCTCTGCTGTCTCTCTCCTCTGTGCCCTCTGCTGTCTCTCTCCTCTGTGCTCTCTGCTGTCTCTCTCCTCTGTGCTGTGACTGCCCGCTTGCCCTCTGTGCTGGTGTCCAGGGGCTTGTGAGTGGTTAGCCGGCTCCGTCCGTCATGTGGCTGGTCCGGTTGCAGGTGCTGTGGGCTGTGCCACTCTGGGACCCTGCATGTGGGGTGGCACTGCGCACAGGGCAGGGCCCACGTGGCTGAGCACGTGAGTCCTAGCTCCAGGGGCTTATGGGCTCGTGTGCCCCAAGCCTTGATGGGGTGGAAAAATGGAGGGGGATTGTGGCTCTGTCTGGTGAGCACACGTGTCCCCTGGCAGCTAGAAGTGCACCCCGCGTGACATGGCCTGTGCTGCTCTGCCAGGTGCACGTCTGTCCCGTTCTAGCCTGGGTGCTGCCGGAGCAAGTGCTGGCAGGGAGAGCAGCCCCAGAGGAAGGTGCCTGCCCTCCAGGGGTGCCCGGCTCTGCACCCCACCAGCAGCCGGAGGCCTCTTTCCTTGGCTCTGCCAGCAGGCCCTGCTGAGCTTCGGGACTTGGCTGCTGTGGTGGGGAAGGTGCTCAGCGGCGGCAGTGCCCCGGCCTCCCTCGCGCGTGGGGGGCTCTGCCCCCTGAGCTGCTCAGTGCGGGTGCTCCTGCTCTGTCGGGAGGACGGGAGGATGGGCCTCGGTGACTGGCTGACCTCAGGGTGTGGCCTGCCAGGGTTAGGGACCGCAGGGTAGCCTGGGGCAGCCCTTGCCCAGTGAGTGCTTGGGTCTGAGCCCCTCCTGCTCTGGAGGAGAACTTGAAGCCCCCCCGCCCCCGTCCCGTTCCCCACCGACATGCCTGACATGCCTGTGTGTGACAGTGTGGCCCTTTGTCTGGAGCTGGCCGACTGCAGAAGCCGCGTCCATCGACAGCCCTGCAGCGTCCTAGCGCCACCTGGTGGGCATTAGTTTAAAAGTGGACAGGAGGGTGGCCCTTTGCCTGGTGATTAAGGGAGCTAGATCCCACGTGGCCAGCAGCGGTTTGAATCCCAGCCACAGCAGCTTGAAAATAACTCCGGGTGGGACCAGCGGGTGACGTGATGGGAAAGGCACTGGCCTCCCACATACCTGACCGCGGTCAAGTGCCAGACCTGGCAGCAGCTTCTCTCACTTTCCATCTCTGTCTGGTAAGCCCACACGCCCTACAGCAAATTTTTAAAAATTGGGGCCACCAGATGGTGTCATGGTTGCATTGCTGGGCTCCTGTGGAGTCTGACCGTGGTTCTAGTCCCAGGTCCAGTGACTTATAGCTCACGCCAGGTGCATGTGTGTGTGCCCAAAATCCAGAGAGGAGAACAGAAGAGAGGAATTGTGCATAGCCATCTCCCCGGGGTGATTTCTCTCTTTCTGTCTGTCTCTTGTCTTCAGTGAGCCCACATTGCCTGTAGCAAAAATCTTGCTTAAAATAAAACATAATAATAACAACAAGTAAAATTAAATATATAATTTTTTTTTAAATTGTCTTTGGAGAGGTTTTTGTTATAGGGTGCGTGCACTCACCAGAAAGACAGAGACAGAGAGACAGAAAGCGAGAAATCACCCCGCGGGGCGATGGCCATGCTGCAATCCCTTCTTGTCCATTCTTCTCTCTGGATCCTGGGCATGCACGCACACACAGTGTGAGTTTAAACCACCAGATCCAGGACTAGAACCATGGTTGACTATATGGGAGTCCAGCGACATAGCCATTACACCAACTGCCGGTCCCAAATATGTAATTCTTCTTTTTTTTTTT